GGTGCAGGGGAGGAGCGGGGGGTGGGCGCACGGTCGGAATAAGAGGAGGAGGGCCCGGGGACGGCGGGGGAGCATTCAGGGAGGGGGGCGCGGGGGCGCGGGGAGGGTGGGGGGAGTGCGGGGGCAAGGGCAGAGGGGCGCAGGCAAGCTAGGTGCGCGCGCGTCTTATCTGACGTCCTACCCCTCCCTCCCATCCCTTACCATGGCGCTGGCTTTTCCCTATCGGCGGACGCGTCTCAGAGCGAACCTGGGACTCCGAAAAAAGAGACCCCATCGCGCAGGATGATGAGGAAGATGAGTAGACCCCCATAGCGGACCTGGGGCAATCAGAGCACGATCAGCAGGATGATGAGCAGGAGAAAAGGGAGGACGACGAGGACGAAGAGCAGCAGCAGGAACTGGAGTGGAAGGAACGGGAGGAGCAGGACGGCCAGGGGAAGTCGGAGTGGCATGGCACGGGAAATGAGGCCAGCGCTGCAGCGGGACTACGATTCGGAACGAGCGGAAGCGCAGAAATGAGGCCAGCGCTGGAGCGGGAGCACGGTTCGGAACGAACGGAAGCGCGGAAATGAGGCCAGCGCTGCAGCGGGAGCACGATTCGGAGCGAGCGGAAGCCCGAAAATGAGGCCGGCGCCTCAGCGAGAGCAGCATTTCGGAAAAAAACCGAGCGAAAACCTAACTCCTAGGAATCCTGTGTAAAAAACCAGTACGCGGAGGGGTGCAGGCCATCTCCCGGACGTACCCAGGGGAGAGAGGAGAGTAGTATTCATATTGAGCAATTATGAAGGAGCGGAGGGGGGGGGGCACGGTCGGAATAAGGAGAGGGGGGCCCGGGGGCGGCGGGGGGAGCACGGGGGAGGGGGAGCGGGGGCCCGGAGATGGTGGGGGGAACACGGGCGCAGGGAGAGGGGAGCGCAGGGGAAAAGCGGCGGGGGGGCGCACGGTCGAAATAAGGGGAGGGGTGCTGGGGGAGGGCTGGGGGAGCGCGAAGATGGGGGCGTGGGGGCCCGGGGAGAATGGGGAAAGCACGGGGGCAAAGAGGGGTGTGTGGACTGGTGCTGTCGCCCGAGCGTTTTCCACGTCTCTCTCTGAGAGCGGTGCTGTCGCCTGCGCGCTGGCCGCATCCCTCATTGGGAACGGTACTCCCGCCTCAGCGCTGGCCACTTCCATTCCATTATCAGCATACCTACCGGTGTGATCTCGCACTGCTTTATTTCGACCGTGCGCTCGTAATGCGGTCGTGCTGGTGGTTGTGCTGGTGGTCCTGCTGGTGGTCGTGCTGGTGGCTGTGCTGGTGGTTGTGCTGGTGGTCGTGCTGGTGGTTGTGCTGGTGGTCGTGCTGGTGGTTGGTGATGCTGGCTGGTCGTGCTGGTGGTCGTGGTTGGTGGAGGTGCTGGTGGTCGTGCTGCTGGCCGTTCTGGTGGAGGTGCTGTTTGTCGTGCTGGTGGTCGTGCTGGTGGTTGTGCTGGTGGTGATGCTGGAGCGGGGAAGGGGGGCGCACGGTCGGAATAAGAAGAGGCGGGCCCGGGGAGCGCGGGGGGAGCACGGGGGACAGGGCGCGGGGGCCCGGGGAGGGTGGGGGGAGCACCGGGGCAAGGGGAGGGACGCAGGGGAGGGGGGGGGGGGCGCACGGTCGGAATAAGGGAGGGGGGGCCCGGGGAGCGCGGGGGGAACACGAGGAGGAGGCGCGGGGGCCCGGGGCGTAGGGGGAGCACGGGGGCAAGGAGAGGGGAGCGCAAGGGAGGAGCGGCGGGGGGGCGCACGGTCTGAATAAGGAGAGGCGGGCCCGGGGAGGGCGGGGGGAGCACGGGGGACAGGGCGCGGGGGCCCGGGGAGGGTGGGGGGAGCACAGGGGCAAGGGGAGGGGGGCGCAGGGGGGGAGCAGGCAGGGGGGGCGCACGGTCGGAATAAGAGCAGGGGGGCTCGGGGAACGCGGGGGGAGCACGGGGGAGAGGGCGCGGGGGCCCGGGGAGGGTGGGGGGAGCACGGGAGCGGGAGAGGCGCGCAGGGGAGGAGCGGGGGAGGGGGCGCACGGTCGGAATAAGGAGAGGGGGGCCCGGGGAGGGCGGGGGGAGCACGGCGGAGGGGGCGCGGAGGCCCAGGGTGGGGGGAGCACGGGTGCAAGGGGAGGGGGGCGCAGGGAAGGAGCGGGGGGCCAGCACGACCACCAGCGTGACCGCCAGCACGACCAGACACCGGCACGACCATCAGCACAACAACCAGCACGACCACCAACATGACCACCAGCACCTCCAGCACTACCAACCACCAGCACGACCACCAGCACAACCACCAGCACGACCACCAGCACAACCACCAGCACAACCACCAGCACGACCAGCCACCAGCACGGCCACCAGCACCTCTACAAGCACGACCACCAGCACAACCACCAGCACGACCACCAGCACGACCACCAGCACGACCACCAGCACGACCACCAGCACCTCCATCAGCACGACCAGCCACCAGCACAACCACCAGCACGACCACCAGCACAACCACCAGCACGAGGGAGACCAGCAGGCCCAGCCAACAGCACGACAGCCAGCATCACCAACCACCAGCACGACCACCAGCACAACCACCAGCACAAGCGCCAGCACGACCAGCCACCAGCACAACCACCAGCATCACCACCAGCACAACCACCAGCACGACCACCAGCACGACAACCAGGACCTCCACCAGAACGGCCAGCAGCACGACCACCAGCACCTTCACCAACCACGACCACCAGCACGACCAGCCAGCATCACCAACCACCAGCACGACAACCAGCACAACCACCAGCACGACCACCAGCACAACCACCAGCACAGCCACCAGCACGACCACCAGCAGGACCATCAGCACAACCACCAGCACGACCGCATTACGAGCGCACGGTCGAAATAAAGCAGTACGAGATCACACCGGTAGGTATGATGAAAATCGTTTGCTATAAAGCTGGCGACGGCGGGTAGCCCCGAGGGGCAACGCAACGCGCGCGTGGCTGCCTCCTTTGTTGACCAGCGCCTCGCGAGCCGAAAGCTCCACGGGGCGGCGAGCTCTTTTCTGCCCGAAAAACAGCAGCAGTGCGAGCGAAGGAGACGAAGGGCGGAGAGGAAAAGGCTCATGCGGACCCCAGGACCGACGCAAAACCCCAGGCAGGGTTTCCTCCCAAATGCACATGTGCCACATACGGATGGTAAACTACACACACACACACACATAGATACACACTGTCTAGGAACCCCTACGCGGGGGCTCCCAGGTTCAAACTTACCCTGGGGGCCCGCCCTGCAGTTTCAGCAACAGTATGTCGCCCGTCCGCTTCGATTCCTCGTTTGGAGACGAGAGGGTAAACATTAAACTCTCCTTCTTTCCGAACCAAGTTTGAGTTTTGCCGCGCTCGCAGGACATTGCCCTGCCGCTTGGGCCCTTTTCGTCGAATCGTGGCGGATGGTTTTGACCTTTGCCCACGGCGCGGTATTCCACCGCGACTTGTCCATTTCCCGACGGCTGCCCTCAGGCCGCCTGTTGATCGTTCTCCGCCTCGAAGGAGGTGTCGGAGATCATGGCCCCAAGGTGTTCTTCCACCACGCCTGAGCATTCCATCTTGGACAGCGCTACGGCACGGCTTCTGCTGGTAACCTGCGTAGGGTGCCTTCAGCTTTCGGGCCGAAGTTGTCCCTGATCAAGACGGCCCTGGCTCGACGCTGAAAGTGGCCAGCAGGTTCCTTCAGTAGATCGAAATTTAGTCCATTCGTGGCTACGAGAAATGAGAGCACGGCCGAGAGTTTAAACCGCGTGCTACTAAGGTTGCGACGACGGTAGCCACGAGAGAGGCAACGCGCGCGTGGTTCCCTCCTTTGCTGACAGCCGCCTCGCGAGTCGAAAGCTCCGCGTGGCGGCGAGCCCCTCCCCGCCCGAGCAAGAGCAACAGCACCAGGGAAGGAGACGAGGGGCGGAGAGGGAAACACCCAAACGGACCCCAGGACGGACCCAAACCATAGGCGCGGTCTCCGCCCAAATACACAGGTGCCACAGTCGGAAGGTAAGCCACGTTATGAGGGACGCTCCTCGAGGGGACGATCCCTGACCAAGACCGGGGAAACCCGGCCCTTCGGGGCTCGGCCAGGGCCTCCTGCCCCCCGAGACATGGAACTTGCATCGGGTCGGACGAAGCGGGGGGTAGCAAAAGGGGGCATAGCGGATCAGCTCACGTAGCTGATTACTCCAGCGCCTCCCGGCGCCAATATATCATGAAGGACAGCGCCCGGCAGCGTGGCCGAACGCCCCCTTCCGTCCGGCCCGATCCCCCCGAAGCTGCCGAACCCCTGGCGCCCGCAGCAGCATGACGCAAAAAGAAGCCGACGCCGCCAAGACCTGTGCTCCCCGCGGCGGCCCCTGCCGGCCTGGACCCCTTCCCCGGGACCGGCTTTCCCTCCCGGGCCGCTCCTTGCCGGTCCCGAGGCCCCGTGAGGGCCCCCAGCCCCAGAGATCCGACACCGTGGTTTTTTCGATGCGGGGCCCCCGGAGGTCTCGACCCGTTCCCCGGGACCGGTTTTTCATCCTGAGTCGTTTTTTGACGGTCCCGGAGCCCGGCGAGGGCCCCCCGAGGCCTGAAATTGTGAAAAACCTCCGTCTTGATTTTTTCAATGCGTTGGATCTCTGGGGCGGCCGCACACGGCCAGACACCCTCCGACCTCCGCCGCGACCTCCTCCACGACGCCTGGCCACTCCTCTGCCGCGGCGAGCACCGCAAGCAGGGCACGGCCTCTGCGCGCCGCGCGCCGCCCCTGGCCCGGGAGGCCCGCGGAGGGCGCCCCGGGGCTGCCCCGCAGGGCGAGCCGCGCGCCCGACGGCGCGGAGGCGCAGCCCTCAGGAGCGGCGGCGCGCCCGCGGCGGCGTCGCCGTCCGGGGCGTCCGGGGCGCGGTGCCGACGAGGCTGGCGGGCCGCTGGCCGCGCAGCCGCGCAGCCGCCGCGCAGCCGCCGCGCAGCCGCCGCGCAGCCGCGGCTAGCGCGCGGGCCGCTGGCAGCAGCGCAGCGGCAGCCACCCGAGGAGGCAGGAGAGGAGGCGGGCGGCCCGCGGGGCGCCCCCCTCCGCCTCGGGGCCCGCCCGGGGCGCCGCGGCGCCCGCGCTCAGGACGGGCGGGGACGGCGGCACCGCGACCTCCCGCCGCAGGTAGGCCTCCAGCTCGGCGCACGAGACCCTGCCGTCGTTGTCGGTGTCGAGCTCCCGGAAGGCCGCCCTGAACTGCTCCTCGGCGCCCGGCTCGTCGGAGACCCTGTGGCAGAAGCTGCTCAGAGACTCCGCGGTCAGGTATCCTCGCGGGCCACGGGCATATCCGTAGCCGTGCCCTCGCGGTCTGGGCACCGCCGCGCGATCCCGCGGGCACGCAACCCCGCGGATATGCTCGGCGCGAGGCATCCGCACAGAGCCGCCCGGTATCCGTGGGGCCGCACCCGAGAAGTCCGGACCGCGAGGCCGTGGACGCGGACGTGTTACCGCCCACGAGATCCGGAGTTATCCGTGTCGAACCTCCGGAACAACGACGCCACTCTCATGGCCTCCCTCTTCTCGGACTGGGCCGACAGCATGGCCCCGAGGAACTCGGTGTAGCTCATCTCGTGGGTATCGGCGCCAAGCGCGCGGCACACAAGCTGCGCCTCCTCCTCTGGGAGCTGAAGCGATCTCGCCAGGGTGGACTTGAGCATTGCCAGGGACAGTGTCCCTCGGCCGTCCGCGTCCATTGAAATCCGCCACCACGCTTGGCGCCACAGCGGAGTGTGCGATGTGCGTGCGATGTGCCTGGTAGTAGGCGGCGAGCGATGGGGGGAAGTGAGAAGGGGCGGGCATTCTCAGAAGGCTCGAAGTCCCTGGGCCTTCTGAGAAGTTTTAAGACTTCCCCGAAGACACAGGAAACTTCTGAGAAGGCAGAAAACTTCTCAGAAGGCCCAAGGGCTCCTGAGAAGCCCCGCCGACTTCTGAGAGAGCCTTCTCTTTCTCACTTCCCCTCCTCGCTCGCCGCCGAGGTAGGGATGGTGGGGTTTTCCATGGCGACCCTTCCCCCTCCCCCCCCCCCACCTGAGCGCACGCCCCTCCCAAACCGAACCCCATTGGAAAGCTGTGCTCCCCGGCTGCATGTCCGTCCTCTGGACGACTCCCCGAAGAGAGCCAGGGTCCGCTCCAGTGGCTGCAAGACGCCCCAGGGACATCCAAAGACAGCCCAACAAGCCCCCGCGGGCTCCCAGATCTCTCCGAGACGCCCTACAAGCCCCCGAGAGACAACAGACTTCCAGAAAGACCCTGAGAGTCGAAAAACATAGATCAACCCGTGGGCGAAAAACAGATCCGTGTCTGCGACCTCGCGGGCCGGGCCCCTGGGCCGCGACCCCGCAGATACGGGGGGATCAACCATAATTATTCTTCAGAAATGAGAATTCAACAACAACAACAACAACAACAACAACAACAACAACAACAACAACAACAACAACAACAACAACAACAACAACAACAACAACAAACAACACAACAACAACACAACAACAACAACAACAACAACAACAACAACAACAACAGCACACAGCAACAGCACAGCAACAGCAACAGCAACAGCAACAGCAACAGCAACAGCAACAGCACAGCAACAGCAGCAGCAGCAGCAACAACAACAACAAACGACGACGACGACGACACAAACAACAACACACAACAACAACAACAACAACAACAACAACAATATTTAAGACTGGGGACACTCCGTTCTCACCAGTGCCAGGGTTTTCATAGGAGGCGGGCAATACCCCCACTTTGTGGGGGGGCCGGTTCAAGCTCTACCAAATTTCCAAACGACTCTTCGCCACCACCCACACCCAGCTTCCCGCCCTATGACGTTCGGACACTTCACTTCGTGGCATGCGGACGACCGTGGCTACTATTCAGGGCCCCGCGGCCGACGACGACGGCGTGCGCGCGCGAAGAAAAAACGAATGTGTCCCGCATGGTATTATTTGACAGGGATGATGGCCCTGGCAGGTGCGCAACCGTTGTCGCAGAAGTTCGAAAAAGTTGCTCGCAAAAGCCCGTTTGACAGAAATGTTTAAAAAGTGTTGGGTTTCCTACGAATCCGCAAGAGCGCGCGGGATGAGATTTTGACATTTTTTTGTTGAAAAACCATTGGTTTTTTGATGTTTTTATGTTAAAATCGCTCCGAACACTAAGCTTTTGGAAGGATTTCGTCTTGCGCGCGCGAATGTCCACTTTACCTTATTTTTTGCAAGGGATTCTTGAAATTCGATTATATTAGAACAAGAAATGTCATTTTATAGTGTTTTTTGCAAGGGAAAACGGATTACAACAAAACAACCGGATCTGGACCCCATCCACTTTTCTTAAGCTTTCGTGAAAAAATGATGAAAATGTAGCTGCGGCCTAGGCGCGGCGGGGGGGCCGTGCACCAGGGGTCCCAACAATAATTATTCTTTAGAATTAATAATGTTCAACAACAACAATAAAACGCTCGGCAACCGCGGGGGGGGGCGAAAAGGGGGAGCTCCCCCTTTTGCACCCCCCCCGCCATCTTTGTTGGCCATCGCTCTATCGCAGGCCGGCGGGCGCGAGGTGCAGGTGGTCAGGACGAGTCCCGCCCAGGTGAGGCCCGACCGCGGCCCTGAAACATCGACGACTGTGCCCATGGAGAGGCGCCCGCACGCCGGGCCACCCGGCCGCTCCGCTGCACAGGCCCAGCTGGCCCTGGCCACAAGTGCCGGCCGCCGCGGCGACTGCGACTGCGACTGCGGGTTGGGCTGGGCGGGCCCGGGGGACAGGACAGTCACGGGGGGGGGGGCTGCCCTCGCTCCACCCCTGGGCGCACCGCGGGCGACGCGGCGCCGGCGACGCCAGCGGGACGCGGGACGCGACGGGACACCCGTCCCAGCGAGTGCGCAGCAGCAGGCGGCCCCGAGACCGAATAGGGCGTCCCGAACATGTTTTTCCACCCAGCCTCTTCCGAAGAGCTCGGCAGGTAGAACCATCGCGCCCAGGACGGCCCCGAGAACCCCGACGGGTCCCCAAGGCGCCCCCCTGGAGGAGGCCCCCCAGACGCCCCAAGGACCCCCCAGGAGGCCCAAAGAAGCCTCCCCAAAGGCCTCCAAACTGAGGGGCTGCGGACAGAAAGGTGGTGCTGAAGACAGACGCGCGCCAAATCAGACCAGGGCACTGAGCGGGACTCAAAAACTCAGCGTGCCCCCTGCTGCGCTGCTGAGATGGCGCGGCGGGCGGGGTCTGCCCCAGGCCAGCTGGCTAAACTGCTGCCGGAACCCGGCACGCTCGTCGGCCGTCAGCGACCACGCCAACAGCATCATGCAGCACCTGCGGAACTTCGGGACGTGGCTGAACTTGACCAGCGCATCTGCGGCGCTGTGCACGTCCACGCTGAGCGATCTTAGCTGCCTGGCCTGCTGGATCCAGCTGTGCTCCAACGCCGCGTGAGCGGTCAATCGCTCTTTCGGGTCGACCTTTAAAAGAGCTTTGACAAAATCCGCCGCACAGTCCGATATGTTAGCCCAATGCGACGGTTTCCAATCAAGCTTGCCGGCCTGTATATCCTCGGCGAGATTTTCACCTGAGAAAGGGAAGTATCCTGCAAGCAGAACGAACGCTATCACGCCCAAGCTCCACATGTCACACTGGCTATCGTAGTTCTTCTGCAACACCTCGGGCGCCACGTAGAGGAGGGTGCCAACTGCTTTCTTCAGCCGCATGCTTGAGTCGAGTAGCTTGCTGAAGCCGAAATCGATGAATTTCACGTGGTTTCCATCACTCCTCTGATACATCAAGTTTTGTAACTTGATGTCTCTATGGACAATGCCGTGCTTGTGAATGTAATTCAGGGCAAGCAGTATTTGCACGACCAAGTCCGACACGTCGGGCTCGGCGAACTTGCCGAGCCTACTGAAGCGTTCGAACAGCTCGCCACCCTGCAAGCACTCCATGACGAAATACAGGCGCTCACCAGACTCATAAACGTCGTATAAGCGTGCGATGTGGGGGTGGTCAACATACAAAAATGTCTCCACCTCGGACAGCAGCATCTGAAACTTGGCGTGCTTGATGTTAGCTAGAGGGCACGTCTTCACCGCAAACTTCTGCTGCTTGTCGTTACCCCTGGAGCCCGTTTTCCTTATTCGCGATCACTCTCGTGACCGGCCCCGCCGACCACGCCCCCTCCCCTCCAGGCTGGTCGCGCCACGATTCGCGCCAGCGCCGTTTGGGCACTAGCCAGTCATACATACTCCCAGACGGCAACGGCGCGAGTCGTGACGTGACCAGCCCCCCTCCCCCGCCCACCACCCTCCCCCCTCCCCCGAATCATCCATTACCGAAAATTTCTGGTAACGCTCTGGACGAACCGGTCGCGACTGAAATTCGGCCCCCGATCGCGAATTTCAGCAACGAGCGAGCAGTCGACGTCTTCGAGACCCTCGCTTGGAACCCGACGCGCCGTCTCCTCGTTACCGACATTCGACCCCCTCCGGTCGCAAGCGAAATTTGGCGCGACCGAAACCCGTTACCGAAAATTTCCGGTCGCGGATGATCTGAACACCCCCTGGTCACGCCCGCGATCGCCAGGGGATAAAAAAACTGTCTCCTGCGAAACGCCGCCGTCACGTCCCCAGTCTCGCCCCTGCCGAGCAACTCGTCGGTGAGATCGTAGTCGTCCTCTATGCGGCGAGGAGGCCGGTGGTACCGGCCGGCGACGCGGATGCTGCCGCCGATGCGAAGAAGGCCAAAGGACGGCATTGAACTCTCGGAGGTCCGCGCTGATTTCTTGGGTCGGCGCCGAAGCCTGCTGCCCTGAACTTTGCAAAACAAGAAAATGGCGAAAACCCACAGGGTTATCACTGCCTTTGGCCTCAAGGCCTTCCTACAATCAGGAAAATATCCTTCGTAGTGAAAATGTTGAGCGCATGTCGACATATCGGAAGCGCGTGCGAACGCAACACGCGCGCGCGCACGCGCACGCGCGCGCACGCCCTCCGGATGGGGCTCGGGCCCAGGCTCTTTCTCAAGCTCGCGCTCGGGCTCGGGCTCGAGGTCGGGCTCAAGCCCGCGCTCGGGCTCGGGCTCGGGCCCGAGATTTGCGCGCGCACGCGAGCGCACGCGCACAAACGCGCACGAACGCGCCCGAACGCGCACGCTCGCGCACGCGCACAGGCTCACGCACGCGCGCACGCGCACGCCCGCTCGCGAGCACGCGCTCGCGCACGCGGACTGTCCCCATTTGGAAAGCGAGGCGGGGCTACAATACCATGCCACACGCCCACCTGGGCCCCGCCCCCCCCGACCGAATATACATATATATATATATATATATATATAAGCCCTAAGCAGGGTGTGGCCACAGCGCCGCATTTTCTGGCGAGCGAGACTGGCTCCAACAGATGTACGCCAAAAAGAACGGTGGGCTCCAGCACCGAATTTTGGCGAGGGGCCATGGCTCCAGCAGCCCACGGCGTGGGTTCCAGCACCCAGTTTGGGCGAGGGAAATTCGCTTCAGCAGATTGCGCCGTCAAGGAGGGCAGGTTCCAGCACCCAATTGTTACAGGGGACAATGGTTCCAGCAGCCCAGAAACGTGGGCTCCAGCACCCAATTCGGACGAGGGAAAACCGCTCCAGCAGATTATGCCGACAAGACGAGCGGGCTGTCGTCTGAGAAAGCAGCTAGGGCGGCCACCCGCGCCCCAGCCACAAACCTTCTTACGGTCAGTCCGTAAACAATTATCCCAGCGAAAGGCCCAACCAAATGTAAATGTAAGTGACGCGCTGTGGGTGCGGCTTCTGGGGGGCCACGCAACGCGTGATGGGGCGTACCGTAATGAGTGGGGGGGACGCATGCGGGCGGTCCCACTGGGCCTTCGGAGCTCCCTGTGGGGCCACAACGCGCTGTAGTGGGTTGTGGACACGCATGCGGGCACCCTCACTGGGGCCTTCGGTGGAGCCCCCATATGGGGCAACGAAACGCTGTACTGGGTGGGGGGGCGCATGCGGGAGGGTCCCACTGGGACCTTCGGTGGAGCTCCCTATGGGACCACGAAGCGCTGTACTGGGTGGGGGGGACGCGGCGGTGCCACTGGTCGGAGCTCCCTATGGGGCCGCGAAACGCTGTACTGGGTGGGGGGACGCATGCGGGCGGTCCCACTGGGACCTTCGCTGGAGCTCCCTATGGGGCCACGAAACGCTGTATTGGGTGGGGCGGACGCATGCGGGCACCCCCACGGGGGCCTTCAGTGGAGCTCCCTCCTCGACCACGAAACGCTGTACTGGGTGGGGGGGACGCATGCGGGCACCCTCACTGCTGCCTTCGATGGAGCTCCCTATGGGAACACGAAGCGCTGTACTAGGTGTGGCAGACGCATGCGGGCACCGCCACTGGGGCCTTCGGTGGAGCTGCCTCTGAGACCAGGAGACGCTGTACTGGATGTGGCGAACACATGCGGGCACCCCCACTGGAGCCTTCGGTGGAGCTCCCATATGGGGCCACGAAACGCTGTACTGGGTGTGGCAGACGCATGCGGGCACCCCCACTGGGTGGGGCCTTCGGTGGAGCTCGCTATGGGGCCACGAAACGCTGTACTGGGTGTGGCGGACGCATGTGGGCACCACCACTGGGGCCTTCGGTGGAGCTCGCTATGGGGCCACGAAACGTGCGAGGGGTGTGCCAAAGTGAGGGGGGTGACGGAAGGAGGGAGGAGAGGGGGAGGAGGAGGAGAGGAGAGGAGAGGAACGCGGGGACCGTCTCTTCAAGACGAGGACCCAACACCAGTAGAGTTGGGAATCACCAGCAAAACATTCACCTACCTGTAGGGTTCTAAGATGGCCTCAAGACGGCTCAAGATGGCTTCAAGACGGATCAAGACGGCCCCGAGACGGCCCAAGATGGCCCCAAGAGGGCCCAAGAGGCTCCCAAGATGAGGACGGCCCCAGAGGGCCCCAATGGGACCCCCAAGAGCGCTTCTCTGGCTCGCGGGGCGCGCCAGAGGCGCCGACATCGGTATGGGGAGGGGCTCCAGCGCCAATCCCCGAACGTAAGCCCGACCTGTGTCAGGCTCTCGAAGGCGTTTTCGTGCCCCGGGACCTTCAAAGCCCCAGGGCGAAAAACCGCGCCCGAATTTGGATGGGGTCGGGAGCTCAGGGGCCCGCAGGCTGACAAGATCAGGTCGCCAGGTGTCTGGGTACCCCCAGACATACCACGATCAGATTTTTGCTCCAGCCCAGCCCAGCAGCCCAGGGCCCCGTCCCAGATCCATGTCTGCTGGCCCAAGAGCGCAAGAAACGGCCCTCTGAGCAGACCGAGACGGACCTTGAGATCCGACGTCGCGAAAAAAATACAACATCGCAAAAAAGCAGGACCGGAGCCCTGGACCCCAACTTGTTGCGGCACTTTTCGAGCCTGATCGATCTGTGAGTGTCTTGGCGCCCGAAACTGGGCGCAGTCGCTGCTTGTGGAAACAGAAGGGCGACGCTCGCACCTCTCGGGGGCGGCCAAAAGGGGGGCGTCCAAGGGGGGGGTGCGTAAATCATGGCCAGCGGCATGTGCGCGGCCCAGGGGCGGGGGCCAGGGAAGCAATGAAATAAGAAGAGGCGCTATGAAATCTGAGGAAATATCATGGTCCACGCCATGATATCCACCCCCTCCTGGTCACCACCCCCCTCTTTTCCGCCCCGGAACCTCGGGAGAGGCCGAGGCCGAGGAGAGACGCCGGGGCTGAAGGCGGCCAGCCCTCCAGGGCTCCCTGGACCTTTGGCCTTCCAGCTGCGCCCGCGCAGGCGCTCGGTGAACTCCAGGAACTGCTGGCTCCTGCTGCTTGCCCTGCTCGGCTACACGTAAGAGTGACCCCCGCGGGGAAGCCAAATCCAGGCGCGCTAGCCGCTGCTACCGCTTCGCGTTCAGCCATCTGGGGGCCCATCTGTGCCCGCATCATGAGTCGCTCCGGCGAAAGGTCACTCTTACGTCTAGTCGACCTGCTGCCCTCCCCCTCGGGCGCCGCGGCCATGCCCAGTGCAGACGAGCGCGCTCCACGACTCGCAAAGTAACTACTCGCACATGGCCTGGATCCGCCGCTGGCTGCTGTTTGCACCTTCGGGTGCCTTTCTGGTGCTGCTGAGCGCCATTTGCACCACTGAGAAACATTTTGGTGCCGCTGAGCGCCACTTGCACCACTGAGTGCCATTTTGGTGCCGCTGAGCGCCGTTTGCACCACTGAGTGCCATTCTGGTGCCGCTGAGCGCCACTTGCACCACTGAACTTCGTCGAAACAAACATATGTTCTTCGAATGTTTGCGAGTAGGCGCTCTGCGAGCAGTGGAACGCGCTCGGCGACGGTGGGCCGCGCGAACGGCGGCGCGCCCCCCAGCGAGCGAGACGCCGGGGACCCCCTACAGCGGGCGCGCCATGGGGCGCGTCGGGCTTGAGCGGAGGGCTCTGCGAGGAGAGGGCCGCGACTTCGGGCGGGCTCGCCGCTGGCGCCCCGGCGCGTTCTGCCTCGTCGTCCGAGCTCGACGGGGGGGGGGGGCGGGGGGGGGGCGCTTGCGGGCCCCGGGGCCGTCGGAAAGGGGTCCAGGACGAAGAGCTGTCCCCACATGGGGGTCGGAAGCTCTGGGGCCCCAGGGATGGACAGACAAATTAGCCTGACGAGCAACCCAGGCATATGCAGCTGCGCGAACCGCGAGGGAGACGAGACGAAGGAGGAGGGCACGCAAACTCCGAATAGCGCACGCGGTATACCCTCTGCTCTGGTAGGAAGCGCGCCGCAGGACGAATGAGGTGCGGGGCAGTGCGGGCAGCGGGGGCGAATGGGTGGGACGCATGCGGACACCCCCACTGGGGCCTTCGGTGGAGCTCCCATATGAGGCCACGAAGCGCTGTACTGGGTGTGGCGGACGCATGCGGGCACCCCCACTGGGGCCTTCGGTGGACCTCCCTGTGGGACCGTGGAATGCTGTACTGGGTGTTGCGGCTGCATGCGGGCACCCCCACTGGGGCCTTCGGTGGAGCTCCCTCTGGGACCACGAAACGTGTGAGGAGTGTGCCGAAATGGTGGGCATGCGGTGAGCAGGGGCAGGGATGGGAAGAGGAGGAGGCGGCGGCGGCGGAGGAGGGAGGGGGAGGGGAAGGGGGAGGAGGAGGAGGAGGAGGAGGAGGAGGAGGAGGAGGAGGAGGAGGAGGAGGAGGAGGAGAAGGAGGAGGAGGAGGAGGAGGAGACAACCGTAGAAGAGGAGGAGGAGGAGGAGGAGGACAAGGAGAGGGAGGAGAAACGCGGGGCGCTGTCTCGGGTGTCTGGGCTGCAGACCGTCGTCGGGCCCTGCCTCAGACCCAAATGGGTCAGGCCGTGGCCTCCAGACTCTGTCGGATGCCGTGCGCGGAGACATGCGTAAGCATGCGGGAAGGCACCAGAAAAAGAAGGAGCGAGGAGGAAGGTCTTCGAAGTTGTGGCTGGAGTGTTGCTCGCTAGCGGCCTGCTCGGACGGTATCGCTTGTATCTTTTGCTGAAACGACTACAGGGCGTATCGTGCCGGAGGGGGGGAAGGGAGCGGCGTATCGTGTGGAAGGGGGGGTCGTCGTATCGTGTGGGAGAGGGGGGCGGCGTATCGTGCGGCAGCGGGGTGAACAGCGTACCGTGTGGGAGGGGTGGGGCGGCGTATCGTGTATGAGGGGGGCGGCGGCGTATCGTGTGGAGGGGGGGTGGCGTATCGTGTGGGAGGGGGTGGGGCGGCGTATCGTGTGGGAGGGGGCGGCGGCGTATCGTGTGGGAGGGGGAGGGGCGGCGTATCGTGTGGGAGGGGGGGGGCGGTGGCGTATCGTGTGGGAGGGAGGCGGCGGCGTACCGTGTGGGAGGGGGGGGCGGCGTACCGTGGGAGGGGGAGGGGGGGGGGGGGCGGCGTGTCGTGTTGTAGGGCAGCGCAGGCCTCCACATCTCTTTCTCGGACAGCGGGGCGGACCGACAGAGGAACGCGGGCAAGGCAAGGGACAGAAACGGGACGGACAGCGAGGAGCCGAGGAGCGAGAAAAGGGGGGGAGAGGAGCCGAGGAGCCGAGGAGCCGAGGAGCCGAGGAGCCGAGGAGCGAGAAGGGGGGGAGGACGACAGGATGGTGGAGCCAGGGAGCGAGTAAGGGGGGGGAGGGAGGAAGGACGACAGGATCCTGGGCGGGCGGCGCAGGAAGGTGGGCCGCGATGCGCCCTGACCTGGCATCGCGGCCCCTGGCCCGGTGGAGTGCGCGACTTTGTGAGCTCCCCGTGGCTGCAAAGATCTCGGAGTCGGCGGTTGGTACGGAGGCGATTGTGGCTGAGCCGAGTCGGAGTCTTTTCCTCGTGGCTGCACTGTAGAAAACAGAGTCGGAGCTCCCGTGGCTGCAGAAATGTCGGAGTCGGCGGCTGTACTGAGTCGTAGTCCTTAACTCGTGGCACTTGTGGCCGCGCGGACCGCCCAAAGCTCATATTCGTGTCATCTGTTGTTCCCCTGGTTCTGTCGGCGATGTATCGCAGACTCGAGCTCGACGGGACCCCGCCTTCGCCAGTGTCTCCCCCATCGCTCCCCCATCGCAAAAGCGCCGCTCCGCACAAGGAGCGGCAGCGCGGCAGCGCAGAGGAGGGGCGGCGAATGTGGGCGGGAGACGGTATCGCGCGGACCGCCGCGGACCTCGCATCCTCGGAATCGCTTGCTCGTGATCCATGGCGTCATGGCCTTCGGGGCTGCAGCGAAGGGAATCGGTGGTCCCTGGCACGTGAACCATGGCGCGTGGCCAAATACATCGTCGTGACTGCATGTCTTGGCTTCCCTCTGTTGGCACGTGGCCTCGCATCGTGGAGCGGGGGCCGTGGCGACAATGCCCTCTGAGGCCTCCGAAAATCTCCAAGCAGTCCTAAGTGACCTGCAGAGAGCTGACAAGATCCCAAGAGGGCCCCAAGAAACACCCAAGAGGGCCTCGGGGCCAACTATTCTTGTTCACCACAAAACCGACGCACAACTGGCTCCACGACATGGGACTGAAGACCGCCAGGCAAACCGGAAACGTCACACGAGACGTCGCCAAGAGCCCTGACACCACTGCAGGAATGAGAAGAAGCAGGGCAGGCAGCGGACGGCAAGCAAGAGGCAGCGGTGAGACACAACACCAAGAGGGTAGGGACACGGGAAACAGAGCGAGAGGAGGCGAGAACGCGAGGTCGAGAAAGCAGAACGAGCAGAGCAGCAGCTGAGAAACGAGAGCCTGAGGGCCAAAGAGGACACCAAAAAGATCCAAGAGTGTCCAGGGAGAGCCCCCAGGGTGCCTCCAACCTCCACGTGCCCAGGCATGCGAGCACCACTGTGCCCAAGAGGCGCCCTGATAAGGAGATCTGCGTGTGTACGTCGCCTGTGGCCCACTCGAAGCCCATCCCCTCTCCTCACTTTACCTCACTCACCTCCTCCTCCAGCTCCTGCTCCTCCTCCTCCTCCTCCTCCTCCTCCTCCTCCTCCTCCTCCTCCTCCTCCTCCTCCTCCTGCTCCTCCTCCTCCTCCTCCTCCTCCTCCTCCTCCTCCTCCTCCTCCTCCTGCTCCTGCTCCTCCTCCTGCTGCTGCTGCTGCTCCTCCTCCTCCTCCTCCTCCTCCTCCTCCTCCTCCTAATGAAGACTGTGCTGCTCTAGGCAGCACCCCCCGAATTGCACACTATGTGCTCGGTTGTCGCGACCAGGAACCATGGGCAACGGATCTCTGACCAGCGCTGGAGGCACAGCTCGAGCCTGTCCTGCCACGCGCACACATGGCGCTAGCGAGCGGACGAACAGAGAAGAGGGAGCAGCACGAGATGGCCTCAGGCTGCAGAAGGCTCATGGCGGACGGGTGGGGACGGCCGCAGCCAGCGGCACGAGTGCAAACTCTTGATGGTCAAAACTGTGCTGCACTATGCCACCCCCCGCCCCGCACATTATTCGTTCGGCTCTCGCGATCAAGAAACATGAGCGACGGATGTCTGCTGGGCGCCGGAGGCACAGCTCGTACTTGCCCGCCCACGCGCACACACAGGGCTGGCGATCGGACGGACACGGCAGAGGAAGCAGCACGAGAGGGCCCCAAGCTGCAGAAGACCCCGTTCTCCAAATCGCAGGTGCCACAGCGATCTGACCTTTCCGAGCCTGCATTGGGACAGCGCGGCTCGCAGGACCACCAGCGCAGAAAGGCTGACACGGCGGATCCGCTCGCGGGCGAGCACGTCGAGCTCGGGCAGCAGCGCGCCGGTGGTCACCTCCTGCACGTAGACCGCGGGCGCGCAGAGCTGGCGACAGCGCCCCTGCCGCTGCGTCTTCGCCAGGTCCTCCGACGCTTGGAGCACGAAATCGGCGCCGCCCCCACGGTGAGAGCCAGGCGCGATGCCCACGGCCTACACGTCGTTCATTTCTAATCGTGCTCATTTCTAATTGTGCTCGTTTCGAATTGTTCCTGGCCCCCCAGTGGCCAGGAAGAGGCCCAGCCAGGATAGAACAATTAGAAATGAGAGGATCTTGGCCCCCCAAAAAAATCAAATAACCTTCGAAGAACTAGACATGAACAATGTGTACGCCTCCCTCGGCTGCACGTAAGAGTGACCCTGGGTACGAGTGACCTTTGGTGCGCGGCTTTGGAGGGGCCGCGGGGATGCCAAATCCAGGCGCGCTAGCCGCTGCTACCGCTTCGCGTTCAGCCATCTGGGGGCCCATCTGTGCCCGCATCATAAGTCGCTCCGGCGAAAGGTCACTCTTACGTCTAGTCGACTCCCTCCGTGAACGCGCCCTGGTGGCCAGGAAGAGGCCCAGGATAGAACAGTGAGAAATGAAAGGATCTTGGCCCCCAAAAAAATCGGGCTGGGCGAAAGGGGGGGATAGCAAAGGGGGGGTTGAGAATCAGCTACCGTAGCTGATTTTCCTGGCGCCTTCCGGCGCCGGAGGCGGCCATGTATCGAGGAATGGGCTCCTCGGTGGAGCCGAAACCAGCTGCATGCAGCAGATTTCGTAACCCCCCCTTTCCCTATCCCCCCTTTCGCCCGGCCCGAAAAAATCAAAGGACCTTCGAGGAACTAGACACGAACAGTGTGTGCGCCTCCCTCCGTGCACGCGCCAAGGAACGCCACCGGGGCGCCCCGAGCGGCGCGCGGAGGGTCGAAAGCGAGCCCCGGCGGGTCCGGCGCGGGGGCGCCCGGCCGAGCATCCCCCCCCGCCTCGAGGAGCAGGAGCGGGCGCTCGCTTCGTCCACGCGCGCGTGCTCGAGTCGAGCCACCGACCACCTCCCCTGGGGCGCGCGCCCCGTCGCGTACAGCTGGGGCGCTGACCCAAGGAACCCTAAACAAGGAACGGGGCCCCCTTTTTCTCCCATGAGTTAAACTCCGACCTTCCATGGAAAACCTCAGGGAACCCAAGGAGCACTGTAAAACAACTGAGGAACACGGAGCCCCTCCCGAACGAAAAGGGTTC